CAAAGATAATAATAATTGCTCAAGTGCCTATCTTAAGACCAAGATGTTTTCCTGGAGGTTGCCAAGCATAAGGGAAAACAGCCAAATCACCATTATCCTAAACTTAAAAGCTCATTAACAATTATGCAACTATAATAATTTTAGTTGTGTTAGTTTTATTTCATTATGTTTAGTTCACTTTATATGTTTATTCAGAGTAAAGATTAGTGTATGTATTTTCACAGTAAGTGACTTTCATAGTTATTCTTTAAATCCTAGCCACTGTTGTTTGGTCAAGTTAATGGGCTTCATATTCCTACTATCACTAGGTACAATCTATAGTTTTGTTTTAGTGATTTTAAGGCTTTTTAAATTAAACAAGTGATATGGAACCGAAATCAAAGTAAACCTTGTATGCATTATGTTTAGTTTAAGTGAAACTCCTTTTAAACTTATCTCAAGACTCATTAACTGAAAGTAGATAGTGTTTTTGGCTTATTTGTTTCTTCTAAAGATTGCTAGATGGTGGTAACTTTTAAAGGATATGCATGTGAAGGAATTTTCTTTGTCTTGCCCCTTTACAAATGGTATAAAAGCTTTCTGTTAATTAATAAAGGTTGTCATCTGTTCAGGAAGCAGGTGTCCAAGTATAATGTTTTCGTCTTTCGCCTATCCGTCTCTCCTTCAGGAAAGCTCACGACCCAGCAAGGGGGCTGGACCCCCGCACGGATGGATTCCGGGATGTCATATGAGCCTTGTTTACTAACAGGCAGGGATCACCGGAAAACAGAATTTCATTCATGTGAGTGTAGTTCCCTCCTCTCCCCTCTGGGCTGCCAGACAAGACCTGCCGGCCACCCTGTTCTTCCCTTCCACAGCATTCTCTTCTGCTCTTCCCTTCCATGTGTCAGAAGCAATACAATGAAATAGCCAATGCTCTCTCTTCTCTTTGTTTCTTAGAGTCTTTCCCCAAAAGTAATAAAAATATAGTCTCAGGGGAAGAGAAAGCATCTCAGAATTCCTACTATAGGCTTGGGTTTTAAGGTCTTGTCCTCTAGCAAAGTCTCCCAAAGCTCTACAGCAGGACTTCAGGTACAAAAACTGGTGAAAGATAAACCAGTGCCTTACTTCCCATGTACCACTGTTTCTTACGTATTCTTATAGGAAAGAGCTGAGCCAAGGCAGCTCAAGGTGTAACATAGTGGAGTTGGTACAAATTTTGCAAAGCAAACAGGAACTTTTGCAAAACAGGTTTACGAAAACTGCAAACAAGGACACTTATTGCCTC